AAAGAGAAAATCGTTCATGCATTGACAGACAAACAAAAACTGTAGTGCGAGACATTGAAAGTAACGAAGACAGGCAAAGACGACTGAATGCCGATCAAATTAGACGAACCATTAGATGCTATATATTATAACAAAACAAATAAAATAGCGGGTTCAATTATGATTCCACAATAAACTATTCGAATGGAGCTGAATAGATACCATTAGTACTATGCGTAATTACTGTAGAGCTTTACGATGGAAAGGAGAGCCAGTAGGCATCTGTTGTTCTGGAGGCAAAATGCATCTGGATAGAATTCAACAGCCACCTAAACCACTCAAATCGTTATTATGTGGCTATTGGAGCAAAAGAAGTCAACGAAGGAAATTTTATGCTAACATTTAAAGTGCAAGGACAAGTATATCACTCAATTGGTTCTTTATTTCTAACGGACAGTCTGGCGCATATTGTCATTTTCTATTCATGAACGTTTTCCACATGTCACACATTTGGATACATTTTTAGAAGATGGTCAATGAGCTTACTTCAATTCAAGTAATATCCAAGAAATTTTAGAAACTCCGAGGAATACAACGTTGACTCCATGTTTTAATTTATGTCAGAGAGATGAATTTGCAACTACTTTACTTTATGAGGAAGTACTTTTACAATGTGGTTTGAACTCGAAAATTCCAGTTCCTCGAAGGCGACTATCCATTACTTAGTAAGATACACAAGGAATAGTAACAGAAATTGGTAATGGTGATATATAGACCCAAAAATTTTTATTTTTTAGTTTATACGAGTTTAGTTCAAATGAATAGATTTGGTATGATAATTGACGTATATAAAAATTTGGGTCAGAGCTTTCACAACGTGATACATCTTCAATCCAGGAATACTGATTTTTTGTTTCTGAGACAAGTAAATATTTATGTATACAGATAAGAAGATTGCGATAGCAGTAGCATCATCAGGTATTGCTGCAACTTATTGCTAAAGGTACACGAGCAGATGAGGTCAATGCATGTTCAAAACGTTCAGTACTTCGTAGACATATTGAAATGCTTCATTTGAAACAAAACATGAGGGCACAATAAGATGGTTTAGAATTTTGTAATATTCTTCTAGACATTGGTGAAGAAAAATATCCTGAAGTCAATTCCAACCACGACATTGCAATTCAATCTGCTCTGAGTCGGATTTCACCGATACTCAAACATTAATATCAACCATTTGTGACGATATTCACCATCTTACTTCTAAAGAAGATTCATGGTTGTGTGAAAGATCTATTTTAGCACCAAGAAATGATCAAGTATAGTTGATTGATATCCGTATCATGGACAAGATACCTAGTAGTCCAACAACATACTTATCCGTAAATACGATATGCCAAACGGATCAAGCGATGTATTATCCAGTCGAATTTTCAAACAGCATAAATACACCTGGTCTTCTACTTCATATGATTGAAAGTTGGTATTTTCATAATGCAACTACACAATTTAAATCCACCAAAACTATGCAATGGAACTGGATTACTGATAGTTTCTTTACAAAAGAATATAATCGAAGCTGTGATTGTATTTGGTTGTGGCAAAGGTGACACAGCAATGATAACTAAAATACCTATTATCCCATCAAACTACCCGTCTCAGTTTAAAAGACTCCAGTTTCCTATCAGTGTGAGTTTTGGAATGACCATAAATAAATCACAAAGTCAAACTTTAAAGAACACTGGCATTGATTTGAGCAAGGGTTGTTTTACGCATAGACAATTATATGTTGCATGTTCACGTGTGAGCAATCCTTCTAATATTATTATTTTAGCCCGGGATAATCATACACCTAATATTGTTTATAAAAAGGCATTACAATAAATAAATTAACACTTCCACGATGTTTTGAACAAACTAATTTGGTTCTAAAAGTATATTACACAAAATTTATAAAATTAGTTGCTTAAACTAGAAACCATTTTTTTTGTTTATTCAAAAACAATACGTATCTCTGAAAAACAAGTTTGAATTTAAATTTCACGCATCAGATTAATTTGTCCTTAGTCGATGCTTCAGTCAGCGCAATTATTTACTTTTACTTGCGAATTAATTTAAATATCAATTTAAAAATAATTTGACGATCAAATAAACTTCATACAAAAATTTACAAACTTTGAAATATTATCAATACAATACTCAAGACAAAACGAGACTTACGATTTCAAGAGATGTTCCACACGATCTGATCTCGATCTTACTTTTTCGACAACTGACTGATGCATCAAACCTTACGTATTTATCTAGTTGAATGTGACATAATTAGAAGTCCCTTGCTTCAGGCGCGCACAAGTCCCTTCGCATGGTCTTTTCGTTTTTTGGAAAAGCTAATGCTCTTCTTACGTCACGTACTCTTTTTTTAAAGTTTTATTGCTTTTCGCCACGTAAGTTTTCCAAAAGCAATAAAATATCTAAAAAACGACTTCCTCAACTATTCTTCGAAATCCTTTCTATTTTAACGAAATCTTAAGAAAACTCAAAAAATAACTTGAGTAATAATCGTTAACCTCAGTCCTTAAGTTTTATTGCTATTCATTTTTAGCTTTTCTTAAAATATATTTTCAATAATTATGTAAAATAATTAAAATACATTCAGACATTACAGAAAACTCACTTTTTTTGTTTATAATGATGAAATTTGTTATATATAATAAAAAAAATGATCTATAAGGTATATTTGAATTCTTCTAACGCTCAATTTTTTCTTTTACTGAAATGAAGTAACTAACCATATCAAATAAATAAAAACACACTCTTTTTGTTCATTACAAGTAAATCATCATTATTATCTTCATGTGTGATTTCATTGAAAATATTATGATTTTTTAATAAAATATATCAGTGCTCTGCAGTGGTCTGGGTGCGGCCCGAAAGGTCCACACGACCAACTTCTCAGTGGAAAAAATGAAAAAACTTTTCGAATAGAACCCATTTCTATTTTTTATAACAAATGGAATTGTTATAAACGAAATGAGTGTTTTTATTCATTTGATATGGTTAGTTACTTCATTTCAGTAAAAGAAAAAATTGAGCGTTAGAAGAATTCAAATATACCTCATAGATCATTTTTTTTATTATATATAACAAATTTTATCATTATAAACAAAAAAAGTAAGTTTTCATCCTTGTCATACGGTTGGTAACTTTTTTTTAGTAGAAAAAAAAAGTACGCGTTGGAAGAATTCAAATATATTAAAAAGATTTCTATTTTTATTGTTTATAACAATTTAAAATTTGTTATTTTAATACTATCATGATCAATAATCATTTGTCCCACATCGATATTATTTTTCGTTTACATACACACACACAGACGTCCACTGGAAAACCGTTGTATTCGACTCTGGGGACCTTCAAACGTGGAGATATGTCAAAATTCGGGATTCGCAAAATCGGACCCATTAGTATAACTCCCCACTGGGAAGTTAAAAATCCGTCAATAAATTTTTAAGGATTTCATCCCTTTTTGTAATTAGTAATACTCAGGTTAAGACGGATCTGGTAATTAAGAAGTTGAAACAAATTCTGTAAATGTGTTAATGAGTTTACATTGATATAAAAAATGAACCCATTTCTCAATTAACATTATTAAGTGCAATGGTCATCTAAATTGAAAACTGTCCGATCAGATATCTGTCTTGTCCTAAGTTTTTTATGATCAACCTAATCCGCAGTTTGTTATTTTCATCTCAAATGTATAAGTTTTAACCATGATTTGATATTCTTTTTTTATGTCTTGGGTTTAATGCTTTCTCTGAAATATAAGCCATAGTTGTACATTTTATTAATTTCCTAATGTTTTTACGAACAAATGGTCATATCTCGAGAACAGTTAAAAATAGAGCACAAATAATGAAGTTTTAGGGGGTGATCTATACGAGATTTATACTTTACCCATAGAACATGTTACCTATCGAAAATTTTGAAATAAATCGTTTATATAATCATTTACCATTAGCCTCAAAATTATTATGCAAAAATTGTGTCTTACTTACCCTCTTACTATGTGGTAGTATTTGACACAAAATTTTACATCTCTTTCATTAATTTGCTAATCTACGTTTATCTATGCTACTATAAAAATTTCTAGTGTCTGTTTACGGTAATCTCCGAAACAGCTAATCCGACTGCAACTAAATTTGGCAAACACGTAGAAGGCCTAGTAGGAAGATCATAGGCTACTTTTTATTAATGTTAATTGATAATAACCATTGAATTTGTTATAAACAATAGAATACTAGATGTATTCGTTATCGTCAAGCTCTTCTAATGTGTAATTTCTTTTCTTGCTGGAATTCAGTTACAAACCATGTAAAATGTATGGGAGCATACTCTTTCAGTTTATCACAATTGTTTTTTATAACTTATAGAAAACAGGATAGTTCTAATATACTTGAACTGCTCCAACTAAAAAATTTTCTCACATTAATGATCACTCATAATGCAATCGTGTACAAACAGCGCATGTTTTTGGGACTCCATCTACTTAAAAAAAGAGTATCAAATAATAGTTCAAAAGCATGTACGTTTGATGGAATTATTAACAATCGTGATTTTTGCGAAAGAATTCGAATGGGAAAGTATACATTTCTGAACTCAGAATAAAAAAATAAGTCGGTATAGGATACTTCACTTCTTCAATTTTTTGAAGAAACGACCCAATGCGGTATTTTGATGTTTTTTACGTATGTTAAAAGTATCTACAATGGCAATTGATTAGGCAACATAATTTCAACTGAATTGAATATTAAATTTAGATTAAGAGTGTCATATCTACAGTTATTTTCTTATTTGTGTTGGGGACAATTACTGATATTCATTACTCAAGTATAAAAATTTATGAAATAAGAATCAACATCAATACTTTTATTTTCTACAGATAATATAAACAAAACTCATAATTTGTAACGTATGTCATATTAATGTCATTTTGACATCAAACGATTGTGACGAACTGAGATAAATTAATCGATTCGGACTCAAAAGTTCGTGGGTAGATAACAGCAAAGATAAAATGTGACAGCCGTGTGATAATATTATAGTCGGCTTATAGTCGTTGTTACGAGTCAACAATTATCGGTATTCGTACATATTTTTGCTTTACGGATAATGGCGTTGTTCTCAGAATTTAGTTCCAAAATTATATTATTACCACAATATTTAATAACAAGAAGTAATGAGGATTGCAATTTCAATCCCAATTTAGTTGAGTTACTGTTAAATATACAATCATCAGTTAAACTAATACGAGCAACAATAAGTGACGCATATAGATTTGATCTGTAAGTATTAGATTTCTTTTGTTCTTAATAATTTCTGAAACTTCAGATTTTTCCTGATAATAATTAATCAGATCATGAGAAGGTAAATGAGTCAAAAACATCTTTACCTCTTACCGACCTAAAGGGGAATATGAGAAGGTAATTGCAATATTTCTATAGTAGAATTAGCTGTCCGTAATTTTTGTCTTTCGTAAATTTATGTAACGCCAGAGATTGTGGAAATCATTCATTGTAGTATATCATCTATTTTGTATGAATTTTTAAATTTGATGCATTACTAATTGTGATGATGTCATAATATTATGAAGACATAAAATTTCAACAATTCATTTTTAGAATTACTGATAAAATTATCATGCACAATGTTCAAATAAATTTCTTGTAAGCATATAGACCATACAAAATGCGTTGAAAATTAAAAGTTCATCGAACATTAACCGATTCTATTCATTAGGCTGTTGTCAGTGACGATAGACATAACTAAAAAATTGTGACTACATGGCAAAACATGGTTTTCTGTTCCTGAAAAAATTATATTTTTTTTATTAAACATCTTAAAAACAATGCATTAGAAATCGAAATACGATTAGTTATTCTTATTTTAATATCAATATGTATATATTAATAAATGGGATATTAATTTGTTTATATCAGAAGTTCCACAGTTTTTCCAAGCAATGAATCATAGATCACCAACAAATAAACTAAGAATTTTTTTATCTTTCAATCAAAAGCTACATTTATGTTAAATTAAAAAAATAACTTGGCACCGATCAAGTATTATTATCTTTTTGAACAAAAAATAAAAAATGAGAATTTAAAAAAATTTGTCAAAATGTGTAATTTTTTTTTTAATTTTTAATTCCGAATTTTAAAAAAATAAATATTTTTCTCACTTCAACCGTTTTTCGATCTTTCGGTGGTATAAATATTTTCTTTGAAGCGCGTTTCGCTAAAAAATAAACTTACAATCCTATGTAACTTTACAAAATATCTGACTTATTCTACTACTTTACGCGAAAAGTCGTGTTCATTCAATGGTTCACAATTTCGGGTGAATTCGTAGTAACTTGATCTATTTATTTGAAGGTTCGTGAACTAAATAGAATTTGCACAAATAGATTTGTATTTGATTGATAAACTGCATTTCAACTCGAATTAGCACATATTTTTGTTTTCAATTTGCATGAATAGATTCACGTTTATTTGATGATTCGCAATTTTATTCGAATTAGCACAAATCTGTTTTTTTCTCTTCGGTATTATTGCGTTTTAATTTTTCATTTATCTACTTAGTAGCATTCATGTATTGGTTTGAATACTCTGTATTGTTAATTAATCAAAATTTTTATTGAATATTAATGAAATAATTTATTTTTCTTAATTGTTTTTTAAATGTTCTATATTATTTATTGATGAAAAAATAAGTGAATAATAGACAAACAAATATTTATGTATAATCTTATGAGAACAACTGGTTAAGTGAATAATAGCATCCATATTTTTGCTGTAAATCTGTTTGTTTTGTTTGTCGTTAGATTCTGGTGCAAAATTCATAGCGAAATACAGAAACAGACAACTTATGACACTGCTGCAGAGTCTGTCATTTTGCTTTCTTCTAAAAAAGAATCTAGTTCATGAATACTTTTATCTACATACACCCGAATTTCTGTAATGTCAGTTACAGTTATTTTTGAAACAAATTGTTTGCTACAAAGCTTCTCTCATATTGTCTAATTATTTTATCTGTTTTAAACGTCTTTGTTAAGATGTTAAACCATTTTTATCAAAAAGGAAAAAAAGCTATAATGTATTTTGAGATGATTTTTTTTATAATTATACAGAAATATATCTATCCAAGCTCGTTTTCAAAAAAACTTATCGGATTACATCTAAACTTTCCAGACATGTACATAGGGGCGTTTATAGTATATTATGTGCGTGGTCACGTGAGTGAGCGATAATTGACCCAGGCAAATAAAGACAATGCGAGCAGTGCTAACGCACGCATTGATTTTATGAGTACGGAGTAATTATTGCTCACTGAGTGTCCACGTATGTACGATATTCTATATGACAGAGGTTCATTATAAGATTCGAATTATTCTAACCGTAAATAGGAGCGCTAAAAAGCAAAGCCCCTTACCGGGGACCCAGAGGGCGGAGCTCCCTGAAACAAAAAAAAAATTTATATATTGTCTATGTTGTCAGCATAATTTTATTTTATAAAAGTACAAAAACTTATTCTATTGTCGAAAAAAAATTAATAATAATTTAAACAGCAATAACGACGCACAGAAGTTCTCATTGCTGGCAGTTTGGGAAAACCAGTCATACCTACCTTTTTTTTAGTATAAGAAAAAAAAAGGTTCTTCCTAATTTGTTCAATTTCTTTCCAATTTTCTTCCTTACATCCTTTTCGGAGGGCATTCGTTCGAAGTCGATCTTCTTATCTATTTTCAATATGTTCAAAGAGAATTTACAAAAAATATCTCAACAGTTCTCTACTTGAAATGTAACTAAAAAATCTTTACGAACATTATGTATAAACGGCTATTTTTATTATTGAAGGATTTATTTTGAAATTTATTATTCAGTGGAAATAACCATTATGAATTAGACAATTTAAAAATTTGTTTTTGCTCTATCTCTTACCGTTTTCGAGACATAAGCATTTTTCAAAAAAAAATGAATAAATATTGAAATTAAGAAAAATAACATGATACTAGCTGCATTTGAAAGATGCATAACGGTTCTTTTTCCGGAGTTCGGCCATATCAGTGTCAACAAACACATTAACAACTCACTGCTCTGGACGACGTCAAACTCTAGTGATGATAGTTGAGATCCTGCAGGTGATATTTTCGCGAGAAAACATTGTTCACATGTATGATGCAGTAACCTGTTATTATCAAAATTGAATGACTTGTCTAGTCTATTGAGTACCTTGGATGTGCATCACGTCTCATCGGTTATAGTCTCCCATAGACTTATCATTATTAAAATTTATTTAAATTTTGTACAGGTATTATTCACAAAAAATGTAATACATCAAAATGTAGATGAAATCATAATTAAATGTGCTTACTTTTATCATGGAAGTGAATCATACAGACTAGAATATTGAATATAATTTATTATTGTGTTATGTAATAATTATTTACACGAATTGCTTCACAAGTTGTAAATGAACATAATAGTAACAATAGAAAAAAATTTATTTTAAACATTCATGATGATTTAATTGTACACATCCAACAGGATTATTTAAAAACGGAGAATCTAAAACCATAATTAACTCATTTATCTCTAATACATTTACTATTGACACACTTTGATCGCTTAACTCATTTAATTCTACTAAATATGTGAATTTACAATTATGATCTTTTGAAGGATTATGAATTTTTTCAAAAAACCTCCCAATGGCATAACATTCCAAACTATTTCGTGATTTGATTAAAACAAATATTTCAATCTTAAATATCGTATTATTCAATAGCAAAACATTAGAATTATCGCGTTTTTTGGATCTTATATAAGATGTACTTTGTATTTGTTGCCGATTAATGATTGCTCTAGAATAGAAACTAATGAATTCATCCTTATCAATTTTAATTCCACTACTATGAATAACAGATTTAAAAAACTTTACTCTGTCATTATTTAAATTTACAGGAGATCCAAGTAGATGGATATTATGAATAGAAACTGAAGATTTAGGCAAATGATCCCGATTTAATATCTGATGTATCAAATATTTTTCTTTTGAAGATGTGTAGTTGTCACAATATTGTTCCAAATTAATGACTGCTGAATTCAGTTCAAAAGAGAAGCAAATTTGGGACGGTACATTATTAGAGCTGTTTACATAATTTTTTACAACTTGATTGTAATCCTCATATTTAAGGCACTATGAGTCCACAACGGTCCCCAATTTAATACACTTGCAAGTAAATGTGCTAATAGATGAACGTTGAATGTTAGATGATTTTCTCTATATAATTCTTTAACTCCTGCAATGAACTCAATCAAGCATTGGTTTGCATAATGTATTTCTGATTTAAGAATTAAATATTTGAACAAAATTGAAACGCGATCTACTAAAAGACTCCAGTGCTTGTATATTCTTGTTTATTAGGAATCACTGAGTTCATTGTTGGCAAACTATAATATAATAACCATGCCACAAACTCATGAGCCTTTCAATGATGACGATCAGACATCGGTCTTGGTGTCCGAGATAATTTTGAGGTCGGTCGATAAGAACACAAGATTTGATCAAACGTCTTCAGAAATGGATAAAAATAAAAATCTTCTCTATTATTACAACTATCGAACCAGAGATTACAAAACTGCCTACAAACACCTAATGCCACACAGTGCATCCAATCAACGTCTAAGTTATTGATTTTAAAATTTGGTATGTCGCACAGAATAGATTTTTTCTTTATTCCTTTTATTTCTCTCTCACAGTGGATTAATGTATCATTATGATTGCGAAGACCATCACCAAATAGATTTGATTTAGTAATTTGGTATATTCTTTTACGGCTATTATTTATTTTTACTGTTTCTGCAGAATTGAAACACAAACCACAACCGTAGTCACCGTTAAATTGAGTTCCACACCCTAACCTTGGTCGGTCAATTGAATCTGCGATAATATTTAAAACTTGACATTTTTTTGTGTATGAGACTCCATTGTTTGTATAAATGAAGCCTAATTTATATAAATCTTGACACTCAGTAACCAATGGTTTCAAATATTTATTAGTAGAAGGTTTCCCTTTACCAAACCATAAACTAACAAGCATAACGTTTTTTCTTCTTATTTCAGGAGGTAGTTCATTTAAAGTCCACAGAACAGGGTACACAGACATTTGAGAACTTTTAAAAATTGGAGTTCCATCAATACTGAAATTTATACTCACAAAATTTTTGGGAACATTTCGTTTATACAAAGAACCATCGTAAATATCGTCAATTGTTCTTTTTTTCTTTCTTGCTATTGAATCGACCATCTTGTCATGATATTTCTCACACAAACGCTCGAGCTGATTTTTTAATGGGATGTACGTGAAAAAATTACCTGGAGTTTTTGGAGAAAACAACATAGTTTTTCGTTATTAACACATTTTGTATTTGGTTGTGGGCCTACATAACAGTGGCATTCAGAACATAAATGATGAGTATTCATTGGAGTTGAAAATAATTTACTGATTTCTTTAAAATTATAAACAGAAATATTTCCAAAAGAATTGGAATAAGTACTTACTATATCAGCAATTTCAGAGCAAGCTTCGAAAACTAAATTATATTTCAATTTGAGTGCATTAAATAGTTTCGAGTGAGTTCAATTAGGTCAGGAGAATTGTAATGGGTTTAGTTGAACAATCTGTTCGAAACCAAGGTGTAATTTATTTAAGTTAAGAGTAAATTTGCTAAGTGCCTCCAAAACGCACGTGATTGAGCATCAGAGATCTTGAGAGTGGATTATCTAGAACAAAGCAAGTATGATTTTTGAATTGAAATATTCCAGCGAGTCTAGTTTCTTTCGAGAAAAATTTTCTGGGCTTAACATAAGTTAAGACCAGATTTATTTTATAGAAAAAAAATGCGCTGAATCGAATGGACTCATTTCCAGCCGAAAAAGTCGGCCGCGTCACAGTTTTTTTTTTAAATTTAAAACTCAATTATTTCGATGAATCGACATATTTTAACTCATATCCTATGAACAAAGCCGATATCGATAATACTTCACTGGACAGAGTTTTTCCTTATACTTTAAGGAATAGTTTTGTCATCTTAATTTTCCAAAATTCCATTTCATTTGGAAAGCGCAGAATTTAAATAATTGACTCCACTTGGAATTGGCCCTTCTTCATGATAATTAATATCTTCATTATCTTTCGAATGTTTCCATTGTTCTTGATCGTAAATATGAGTTAAATGTAATTATCGATAAAAGATTGCTACTTACAATTTTGTATGTGTATAAAAACTTTTAACTTCAATATCTCGCTTTGTTTTTAAATAATAAAAATTTTATTCCTCATTTCCACTTATTTTTGGTCTAATTATCTACAAATGTCGCCAAATGGCAGTGACACGGTAACTGAAGTATCCGTACTTCTAAGTAGAATGTTAATAGTTGTGAGAGTACTTTCTGTCATTATCTGCCTGCAAACATTTTATTTCTCTGTAAGTCTGTTTGTCAACTATCTTTAAAGACGTCTCAAAATTTTGAGAACATCCCTTTTCTCGTTAAAAAAGAATATGACTCACCATCTCGAACTTTTATCAATGATCATCTCGCTTGTCTCTAAGTTCTTATTCTCAATGACCAAACTACGTTCAAACGATCAATTCCTCAAATCCATTTATATGGAAGGTTCGTCATAAGCATCTAAGAATCCAGCTTATTCTCACATTTAGAGAAGCCGTTGGTGGCCAGCAGGAATCTAGAACGAGGAGTACTTCGTGAGCAGACCGCCAACCGTTGGTGGTGGAGCAAAAGTGCATCATCTGTAGCAGCCATTGTTGTCATTAGAACTACAAGGAACATCACTAAGCAGAATACGCTTTTGTTGGAATACTCATTACAATCGGGCATGAGTAAGTGGTGTGGCTTCATTTTATTCCAGTGTATAAATAACCATTGTATTAAATAATAATTCAGGGTGATCACGAAACGCCATGGGTTAGGTTATTTTTGTGGCCACGAATCAAGGGCTGTATTTCAGGTCTCTTAGTGGACTGAGACATTAGTAACAATCATTCAAATTATATTCAAGTCACTACTGACATCGAATCTTCATAAATTTATTGAATCAAATAAAAATTTGTCACTCTCTATTAAGTGATAATTGATAGTGGTTGATTCATGCCAATTCACACTGAGAAAAAACCATTTGAACGACGTTTAATACACTTAGCGGAACAGAAACGTACACTGATATCATTGTAAGATAAATTATCATCACACTAATTATTTTAACGATAAAGTTTGAAATGCTCAACCACCCCAGCGAAACTGTTGTCACCAAACTCTTACTGACCTTAGGCTGACTAGGCTACCTTAGCAACCCCAGTGAGAAACCTGCTAACTCCACAAAATCTCCGGATGGGCGCTAGGCAGTCCTCAGTCTGCGGTTTATAAAATAATGAGGAATCTCTCCATTTCAGCAATAACAATACTTCAGTATCTATTTCAAGATTGGGTCTGGTTCAATAACTAAGTCCCTTTGAATATCTCAAGGTGACTTAATTTTATTAATAAAATTCAATCAATTTCACAATGTTTACACGCTGCCAACTAACATCTATACCATTTCTCGCGATTTCTTCTACTTCTCCATCAAGATTCTCTATTTGACTACACACGCGCTACACACATACATTCAATTATAATATAAATTTCATCATACGATACAATTTCTGTGCTTACTGCTCGTTGGATCTAATCTACAACTTTGTTGCACTACTGCTGATCTCGTCTCTTTGGATCAGGACAGGCACGTTCCAACAGGCTTGAATTTCTCCAGAATTCAAATTTACTTATTAAAGATCCGGGCGGTACCGCTGCTAATTGATTCTCATTTGACTATTGTTCTGCTGGTCAATCGAAGGTATTTATTTATTATAATTACGAGATTAGGCGTTTGTCATTGCCTAATAACTAATTTCATTTCTAATAAAATGACTAAGAGGATGAGGCTCAGTCAAATACCTGTGTCCCTTAATGTCCTTAATATTATACATTAAATTGTTCCGTTAACCAACATATCTCAGGATTGACGTAATAGATAGCCATCGAACGGTGTTTCAGAGTGATGTATGAGGGACTTGAACTTCTCTTTAGCCCTCGAACGCATTGCGTTGGCACTAAAATTAGTTTCGGCGAAATATTAATAGAATTTCAGTATCTGTTCTTTCATTCAGTGAAGTCGAGTGATTACAGGTGATGACACACCCCTCGTGAGACTCAAACTCTTATTCGCATAATTATTCATAAATAAACAAATAAATGTTGAAGCTAACCGATCCAATTAGATGAATTATTTAAGGACAATTACAGAATAAATCTTATTATTCTGGTAAATAGCACCTTAACTGATTTCCTACCTGGCGCCCTAATTTACCATAAGTTTTATTACAAGTAATGGAAATTTATTAACTTTCGATAAGTCATATGTAATTTATATTCGTTAAAAAAAAGAAAAGAATTTCAATGCATTTGACGTCGTCATCGCATAACACCCTCTTCTTTTTATATCCGTGAGTATATGGCTCACCGCGTGCATCTCATCACTTCTGTTTGCATTCTTGAGTGTTGACACACAATAGCTGATCTTTGTTCAAAAATGTACTAGTTGGCATCACTAGAAAAATCTTTTCGATTGTTACACCATTTTTTACGTCAGTTTAGTGAACTGAAAATGTTTCTTTGAAATTTTCTTCATCTTCGAAAAAACTCCTTATGCGATGAACAGCCCCAAAATCTTAGTTTTTTCACAGAAGAAAAGCAACACGGTCCTTCTTTAGTGTCGATTAAGTAACTAGTATCGGTAAAAAAAGAAATGCTGAACTATTACCCTTATATTATGATTTATTGCTAAGCCTTCCGTGAATGGATGAGTAATCCTCTTTGTTGTGATGTTCCAGGTTATAGTTTTCTACTTAAATGATTATTTATTAACCTGCATATCAATGAATAAAGTAGAAACTTGAAGAAGAGTACAAAGTGGTTGGAATTTTCGTACGACACTTATTCAAAGAAATAAAAAAGTCCATAACAATTCGTAATAGATGCTAAACAACTTACATTATATGTTTTCGGTTCCGTATGAATATTTTACAGTAGTCGATGCGATTTTAGGGCATGTTTTTTTTTTGGAATTCAGCGAACCGAGTAATTATTTCTACTTCTCCGTCGAAATGTAATGTTCATGAAATATTCTTTTTTTGTGTTTTAGAGGAGGATCAACCGGGCTGAATAATTTTCAAGGTGAAAACGTAAAAAATCTCGACCAGATAAGCAATAATATATTCATTTCAACGTTTTCGTCTTCAAAACTTGTAAGTTTACTGATAAGTGAAGAAAATGAAAAAATTATTGAAGTATGTGATGATATACAAGGAAAGTATATCATTTGCTTTGATCCTCTCGACGGCTCATCAAATATTGATTGTTCATTATCAATTGGCTCTATTTTTGGAATCTACTACGTAAGAAGTTGTACTTCAAAATGCGATATGTTGAATACGTTACGTAAAGAAAACCTAGTCGCAACTGGGTATGCATTATATGGCTCTACGACAATGATTGTACTGTCGATTGGTTCTACTGTGAATGGATTTACTTACAGTGAAAAAATTGGTGAATTTCTCTTGACTCATAAAAACATAAAAATACCGAAGCGCGGAAATATATACAGGTATGATATAATATTGGTTTTCTAAGTTAAAAAACTAGTTTTTTCAAGTTCTATTAACGAAGTTATTCAAATAATTTGATTTTCTGTATTACGGAATTTTTCCGCTAAAACAAAAAGTGAATGTGCACTACATTAACACTTTTTGACTGGAAACCTATAAAATAAATATAATCATTATATTTATAGAAAACTGTTGAAATGAAATATACATATACTTTCCTAAACTTCAGTGTAGTTATCAATAAGCAAAAGCTCAACAGTACCTCATGTAATCATGTGTATTCTAAAAGTAACCTCACATAACGATTTGGGACAGATATCATGGCATCTAATTACGAGATGTTAACTACTACATAGTAACACTGCATCATCGAAGGGTGCAGATATCTCTGAAAATCATAAAAAATCGTTGGTAATAATGAAAGAAATTCCTGCATTATAACCCGATAGGCTATAAATTACCCTACATCAAGTTTAATCAAATTATTCCATGACCTCTAAAATTAGACATTACGTTAAACACGAAAAAAAAATCTTCGTTTGTAACATAGCAAATTTTTTTACCTTTGACTGATAAATTTAATACTATGAAATCAAAGTGTCCCGTAAAAATCATGACGTATTCGCAACCCTGAAAGAATTGGGCAAAAACTTGCACTAAGTTTGCATAACAATTGTAGGAAATTTTCTTACAAGCATGAAATAACATCCTTACAAGAAAATGTACAAAATTTAAATTATCAAGTGTCAAGTTTCGATTTTAAAAAAAATCTCTGCGTCAAAAACTGAGCATCCGTGAATAACAGAAATCATACAACATCATACAATTTCATAGCATGAATATTACTAATATTCATATCATTTTTTTAAATTCAGGTTGTTAACAAAATGTCAACTTGAATGAACGTAAGCGGTTACGATAGGAATGAGGGTGCTGAAACAAAGCTATTAAGAAGTCAAATTCACGAAAAAAAAAATAATTCCCATTTTTCAGCACTATCAATAAAAAATATATGTAGTCACTAAAAAATAAATAAATATCACTTGAACTAAATAAATCTTAATAAAAATCACTGAATTTTTTACTTGGATGTCTAAAAAATAACTATACTCGGTGTGTTCGGTATTATTGATCTACGACACGAGCTCAACACGCTTCCAAAGTTAAGCAAGAATAAGATTTTGCACGTGGCATTAGCCTAGCATGCAATGAAAGATGAATTGTAATCAATGGGGAGAATTTACGATAAAATATCTTGAAATATTTGTTGAATTAACTTTAGAATAAATACCTAAGCATTTTCTGTTACTCTGAATGTCACAAACTTCACAGATTGATTTAAGAAAATGAGATATAGATTGAATAGTTGAAAATGGCCTGTTAACGTGGACGAAAACAGAAAAATAATGGCGACAGTAACTTCATTTAGAGTATATAACTATTTGGTCTATTTGTTATCGACACTAAGATGATCACCGAAATTCCCGTCAGCTGATTATTCAAACTTAAAAATTTGTTAATTATCAACACAGATACATGCATTTGGTTTCATATGTATTTACAAGTATTACGTAAAATCCTAATATTTTCGTGTAATTCAATGAGTTTGTTGATTTTTTTCTTTTTTTTTTTTCAAGTATAAATGAAGCTTATGAAGAATCATGGTCAGAAGGAATCAAATACTATATAAAATCTAAGAAAAACAAGTCAATGCATAGCAGTCAGTACAGCTCCCGATATATCGGTGCTATGGTTGCAGATGTTCATAGAACTATTTTGCATGGTGGGATATTCATATATCCTGCGACCCGTAGTCATCCACAGGGAAAGGTAAGAGTTTGAAGGGATAAGTATGGAAGATTTATCAAGCTCGTAATAAGATTTTCTGACCATTCATCAATCTACCAAGGAAGGTATTCCAACGTGTCACCTCCGATGTTTTTGTAACTGATATATGGTATTCTACTTTAAATTTTAAGAGACACATATGTTTTTTTGTTAACACGCCTTCTATGAATGTTGAAAAAGCCTCCTAAACTGAACTACTTCTGGGTCAGTTCAAGGGTTTTACCTACTTTCAGTCATTTTTTTTCAGACAAAAAAATCGTTTTGAAATCGATTCGAAAGAATCCTGTAATACCGATGAATTGGCATGATTACTGTAAAATAGTTAGCACGTTCTTTTTCATTTTTTTGAATCAAATATCGCAAAAATAGGTGGAAAATAAGAAAAGTGAGGCACAGAAACCTTCGTTAGCCAAGAAAGAACGAAAAATTTCCTATGAAGTATCGTTGATTTCTGCACAATTGGAAAGTTATTAATGGAAATGTGTTATTTAGAATCCCTGTGAAGTTTTACATATTGTAAACCTCAGTTCAAAGTAGGAGGTTAAATTTTCTATTACTCCTTTTTTTGTTTGCACCCTTACTGGACTATTATGCAGTGACAACAATTGTTTGTACGGATCATATCGTTACTGATAAGAAATTATCCGACTCTATACATGAAAAATTTTCGAGCAGTTTTGATATAATTTCCGTGTTGATTGTACGATTATTCTTGACGTTATTTTTCATTCTTACATTTAAAAAATGCGAGTAAATTCTATCAACAGAATTCAAATGATTTTGGCTAATTCAAATCTATAAATATTCCCGAATCACCTATAAATGATTCAGAATAACATATTTCGCATCCAAGGAGAAAAGAAAGATTAGCTTAAACCACGAGCAAAATTACCACCTGAGCCGGAGACGAGAGTGGTAAACGCGATGTTTGAGCTACTATGAATGTCTTTCTTAAGACTATTTACGCTTTTCTATCATACCTGCGTGAAAACTTCAACCTCTCCTTCATAAAAATGTGAACTTTGCGTGCGGGTGTGACGACAATACAATTAAGAAATAATTCCAAGCATATATTGTTGTTAGTAATGAATGAATATAGAGATATTAACAAGATACAAGAAGAATCTCAAAACCTTGACGAACTCTTTAAAGATTGAGAGAAGAAAATTGTAAAGGACAATAAACATGCATCTGCTTTTCATTAACCAGAGTTATCTTTTTACACAGGTGCAACTAATGATGAAGACTTGAGCTACAAATACACGTAAACAACTGTTAAATATTGATGAAGTGGAAAAACTAATAAATTAGGCTTTAAGGGTGTTTAGCATAATTTTAGAAAAGCTCAGTCATTACAACAATTAAGACGACGGACACATCAGCTAAATCAAGGTGGCTCGTAGAAAATAGCTAAAACTTGTAATTATTTATGAGATAATTTTCAAACTGCTGTAGACATTGGTATGATAGCACATGATTCTGATTTACAAAAATAGGATTCACAAGGTTTAATAAAAAGATTTCCGCTTTTTAGCATCTAAAAAATGATTGTCAGCACTCAGAAAAGTTCATTCAATAGGTACGGTAATAGTTAATAAATTAGTAATATCAAAAACAATCCTAGATAAAGAAATATAATCAGAAAAATCAACAGAATTTGTTTCTAGCGTAGAAAAAAAAATCAAGAAATACGGTAGTGTCTCTTGCGCCAAGCATAAATCGCCGCCATCTTGCCCTTAAGTCATAGCGAGACACAGCTGTGTCTTTATACAAGTTATAAGATGACTTTTGCAGGTTATAATTTTTAAATTAAAATTTTTTTTCTTATTATAGCATAAACATGGGCTGAAATTAAGAATTTGCACATAAAGCGATTATTAGCTTTCGATTAAGCATACTATTAAGTATTTTTACTGCTTCATTCATAATATACAAAATTGAAAAAATTTAGTTGCGCAGAAATCGAGTTAAATGAGAGTTTATTCATGGAGCAATTATACGTTTTTTTATCAAGTTGGTCATTAGAGTTTTCGACTACCATGAAGTTTCCTTATTTACGGATTGTAAGTTGGTAACAAGTTAATCTTGCTCGAGCGCAAATATACAAATAATTAAAGTATTGTCAGAGAAGAGAGACCAGTATAAAAGTCCAATGCTGTGTTAAAAATCCGGACGAAGTTTCGGTCAATATGTCGGTAATCTCAGGTCACAACATGAAAGTTTCAGTGAACCCATCGAGCGATGGCACTGCAACTGTTTATTTCAGCCACGCCTCTTAATCTAAGAGAGAAAAGAGATAAGATTTGTGTTCTCTTTTACTCTCATTATAAGAATCCTAAGCCAGTTTATTTTCAAGCACAAATTTTTAAATAGAAAAGGTCCAGCACTGTTCGCAACATATAGAGAAGCTATAAAACCAATTTGATATTCTTGTCACAGCTCAGAGGTAACACGCTCGACTACGGAAACGTAGGTTTTGTGGTAAAGCCTATCGATGTTATTTTTTTTTTTTCTTGAATTTAATTAATTGTAATAATGAATTTTTTTAGGACAAATTTTATACGCAATCACATTAAAGGAGAGTAAAAAATGATGTACGACCGAAGCAATTTTTTTGTAATAAATAATGATGTTTATAAGGAAAAAAAAGAGAATTTTATTATGCATGATGATAATGAGTCGAAGGCTTCGATAATGATGTTTATAATAATATCAATAATATATTAAAAAAAAAAATATTTAATAATATAACAAAATTTTTTTTAAGAATATACTTTCTTAAAGAATATTGGGACTGCTCGAAAGGCCTGGAACTTGGTACCTGAAGAGAGTGTTTTAAAAAATTTTCTTGGGCAATAAAACCTCTATTGTCTCAACAGCCTTAATCCCACAAACAATAGGGACTTTTCGAAGTCCTATCTATCACAGTAGATAGAAATAAGACAAATAACAAAATAATCTTCCCTCTGAGTTCCGTAGGGCAAGCCTACCCCACTTAAGACTTTAAATATGATTTTGTCTTCATTGGAGATAAATGGGTCGGTAGCTTAGGGGTTAAATCTCTGTTCGTATATCCTTTGGTGACTGGTTCGAATCTCAGCAGTAACTCTTTTTTTCCTTTTTTTCATTAATTAAAGAATATTTATTTTATTATTTTGTTTTGTAACAATACTAGTGCCTTTTTTCTTATCTGGGTAATGGATAGAAATGTAAAATTTTTTTATCATTTTCTGATTATTTTTAATAACAACAATGGATGACTCATAAATATATGACCGAATGACATGGTGAAATATCTACATAAGGCTTGTACTAAGTAACACCAGAATTTGAAAATTTAATATATATATTTATAAATCGTTCATTGTTGTTATTAAAATTAAGTAAAAAAAAATTTTATAAATTTGGGATTTTTATCCATTACTCAAAAAAGAAAAAGGGTACTCGTATTGCTACAAAAAAAAAATGGAATAAATTTTATTTAATTAATGAATAAAAAAAAAAGCAACTGGCGAGATTCGAACGAGTCACCAAAAGATTCATAGACAGAGAATTTACCCCTGAGCTATCGTCCTATTTACTGGAATGGAAGGTAAAGTAATATTTAAAGTCTTAAGTGGGGTGGGCTTGCCCTACGGAACACAGAGGAAACACTATTTTTTTATTTGTCTCATTTCTATCTACTCAGTAGATTCTGCTTACTGTGATAGATAGGACTTCAAGAAGTCTCTATTGTTTGTCGGATTAAGGCTGTTGGGACAATAGGGGTTTTATTGCCGGAGAAAAATTTTGAAAAACTATATTTTTTTCGCTCCCTACTACCCGAGCCTGTGAGCTTGAGCCTGTTGGGTAAAGAGAGCTTCCTGTAGTCTGGACAGCTAGCGATGAAGTGATCTTTGCTGCCACAGTAATCACAGACGTGACCAGGATGAGCTGGACCTCTGTAATCCGCCATCCAGGGTCTGAGCTTGTTGGCAGAGCTTTGCTGAGCTGTTGGCTTTGCACTGAAGCCACAACGTTGAGCTTGATCTGATGGAGCTTGAGAGGCAGGAGCTGGAGATTGAGCTTGAGCGTGAGCAGTGGCTGCATATGACCGAGCTGTTGATTTCTTTAGTTGAGCAAAGCTGGCTTCCGATGGCGACTTGAGCTTTGATGGTTTCTCTGAAGTGAGCTCAATACTTCCAAGAGAAATGGCTTCAGACATCAATAACTCCTGAAGCGAGCTGAGTGATGGATAGGCGGTGTTGAAGCCGAGCGTTCTCTCCCATTCTCTCCTGATGGAAGGATCTAGCCGACGAACTAAGTGGTAGACAAGTGGCATGTCCCACTTGTCGACTTCGGCATCTAGAGCTTTTAATGAATGTAAAGTTTCTCGAACACCATTGAGCAAGTCGTGGAGACTCTGAGATGTTGGTTCTACCACTGAGTTGTCACCGAAGAGCTTGTCGAGCTGTGTTGAGATTAGGAGCCGTTTGTTTCCATAACGAGATGTGAACAAATTTCACGCCACGGCGTAATTGTCGTTGGTAGTCCTCCGGTTTTGTAGGAGCCGAGCTGCATCACCCTGAACTGCACCTTTTAATAACGTCATTTTATGGACGTCGGTGAGCTTAGCGTTGTTGCCAAGCATGGCTTGGAACAAGTCTTCAAACTCCTTCCAATCCTGGTATTTCCCACTGAAGGGTTTGATCTTGATCTTCTCGAAGAGATGAGCACCAGGTAAGCTAGTTGTACGAGCTTCAGGCGAGCTTGATGATTGAGCTGAGCGAAGAGTTCTGATGAGGTTGGTCAGGATTGACTGAGCTTCGTCGTAGACCCCTAACGTTACAAGATAAACCTTCTTCTTCTTGTACGAGGAGCTAAGATAGAGCTGAGAGAATTTCGTGGCAAGGTCATTGTTAATCGACTAAAAAACTGCCACGTCTCTTCAAGAACAGAGAGCTTGGATTCGAGCTGAGAGAGAGGGAGCTTGTTCACATCAT